TAACCCCCCCCGGATCCTCCTAACACCGCATCGGGGCTATCGACCAAAAACTCCCCGTCCACCACGGGGACGAAAGCGAACCTAAAAACGCTTTGGGGCGGCATCACCATCCCTTCCCCTTCCAAAAGCTCCAGGGGTTCCTTCCCCCTCAAACACCCCAACAATTCCGTCTCGTTGCCGTCGTCGCACCCCAAAACCCGTCCCAAAAGCATCGCCCTCCTCCTCCCTTCGGCCGCCCCGATGCTGGCCCAAGGCCCGTTAGGGGAACCGCTTTGGAGGACGGCCCTACGGAACAAACCCCGGCTATGGGGCGAAAGGAGGTGAAACCCTACAGAAGCGGCGCCGGCGCTTTCGCCAAACAGCGTCACCAAATCGGGATCCCCCCCGAAAACCTCGGCGTTGCTTCGGATCCATTGCAAAGCCAAGCGTTGATCCCATAACCCCACGTTGCCCGGCGCCTCCCGTCGCCCCAAAGCCAAAAACCCTAAAGATCCCACCCTGTAATTCATGGAAATGACCACGGCGCCTTCGGCCACGGCCAGAAAACGGCCGTCGTAAACATCCAGAGACACGGAACCGCTGTAAAAACCCCCGCCGTAAATCCAAACCATCACGGGCGCTTTGTAGGGTCGCCTTTTCGGGGTCCAGACGTTGAGATAAAGGCAATCTTCGCTCATCTCGCGATTCGGGTTCCACATCTCCGACCCGGGGAAACCGGGGAAAGTGGTGTCGATGATTTGGTAACAGGCGAACGGTTGAGAATCGGCATCGCGGATCCCAGGCCAAGGTTTGGGGATGGGGAGAGGAGGGCGGAAACGGAGGGATCCCAAAGGGGGGACGGCGAAAGGGATCCCCAAAAAGGCGGCCGCCGTCGAAGAGCCGGCGGGGAGCAAAAGGCCGCGGATGGAACCCGATGCAATGCGCACCGTCGGCCGGTTGGGGGCGCTGTAGGCGAAGTCGGCGTGCGGTGAAAGCGGGTCGGGGTCGGTCGCTATGGGGTCGGTCGCTATGGGGTCGGCCCGTATGGGGGAGGCGAGGAGGAGGAGGAGGAGAGGCAGCAGCTTGTAGGGCTGTGGGG